GGGGTCTCGCTCTTGCTCAAGCTGGTCTCGAATTCCTGAGCTCAAACAATCCACCCGCCTCAGCCTCCCAGAGTGCTAGGATTACAAGCGTGAGCCATCACGCCCAGCCAAGAATTGGTTCCTTTATGGTTCCATAAATGACTACATAAAAATTGAAAAGATCTATTTAGGGGAAAAATGGAATTCAAAACATAAAATGACATGCTGAGAAAAAAGATTTGTAACACATGATACATAATCTCTCTCTCCTATTTTTTTTTTTTTGAGGGACAGTGGCTTTGCTATACAGCCCAGGTTGGGCTTGAAGTCCTAGCCTCAGGCAATCCCCCCACCTCAGCCTCCCGAGTAGCTGGGACTACAGGCATGCGCCACCATGCCCAGGTAATTTTTTCTATATATTTTTTTAGTTGTCCAGCTAATTTGTTTCTATTTTTTTAGTAGAGACGGGGTCTCACTCTTGCTCAGGCTGGTCTCAAACTCCTGAGCTCAAACGATCCGCCCGCCTTGGCCTCCCAGAGAGCTAGGATTACAGGCGTGAGCCATCACGCCCGGCCCTTGCATAATATTTTAAAGGTAGCTCTTATACTTTTTTATAACTGGACCCCTTTGAGAATCTGATAAAAGTAGTAGGTCTTCTCCCAAGAAAATACACATGCATGCATATAATTTTAAGGGGTTCATGAATGCCCTGAAGTCCATTCATGAATACATCAAGTTAGGAATCTCTGACCTACTGTCAGGATTGAAAAAGTGAAGTTACGATAGCCAATTGTAAAAAATAATGATTTGTTTCCCGCTTTAGTAGTAGACTGTGGCAAGCATGATGATTTTTTTAAATGGTTCTCTGAGGTAGGGAAAGCAAAACAAACCTTGGACTCCAAAGCAGAACAGCCTCCAGATGTTGGCAACTTCTCTCCAATTGGTCTGATCAGAAAATCTTGAGCAAATCGTGAATTCTTCAAGATAGCTGCTGTCTCTTCATCCACTTCAACAATTTCACCTTCCTAAAGGGTAGCACGCAAAACACATACTAAGAGATGCCACTTTAGTCTCAATAGAAGAAAAATGCCTATAAGTTTACTAACGAGTGGCATTTCAGAATAAAACGCCGTATCTTCTGACATGGTATTCTCTCAAGTTCAGACTCTGTTAGTTTCATGTTTATTTCCAGATGGACATGATTAGTGTCATAATCAGTCTTTTTTTGTTGACGATGCTAAAAATGGACACTCGTTGAAGTCTCTCCTCAGAGACAGAAACAGAAACCACTGTATTCTGAGCTCTACCTTATTCATTACTGTGTGAGGGTGTCAGACCAAAGATAAGTGCTGGTAAGGATGTGGAGAAAAGGGGACCCTTGTATACTGTTGGTGGGAATGTAAATTAGCATACCATTATGGAAAACGGTAGGGAGATTCCTCAAAAAATAAAAAATAGAACTACCATATGACCCAGCAATCCTACTACTGGGTGTATATCCAAAGAAAATGAAATCAGTATGTCAAAGGGATGTCTGCAACCCCATATTTACTGCAGCTCTATTCACAATAGCCAAGATATGGAGTCAACCTAAGTGTCCATCAAAAGATGAAGGATAAAGAAAATGTAGTGTATAAACACAATGGAATAGTATTCAGCCTTAAAAAAGAAGAAAATCCTGTCATTTACAGCAACATGGATGGAACTAGCGGTCATTGTGTTAAGAGAAATAAGCTAAGCACAGAAAGACAAATATTGCATGTTCTCACTCATATATGGGGGCTTAAAAAGTGAATCTCATGAAGATAGAGAGTAGATTGTGCTTATCAGAGGCCAAAAGGTAAGGGACAGGAGGATGAAGAGAAGTTGAATAATGGGTACAAACATACAGTTTGATAGAAGAAATAAAACCTAGTGTTCGATAGATCAGTAAGGTAACTATAGTTTCTGAATTATTGAATGTTTCACAAAAGCGAGAACAGAGGCCAGGCATGGTGGCTCATGCCTGTAATCCTAGCACTCTGGGAGGCCGAGGCAGGAGGATCACTTCAGCTCAGGAGTATGAGACTAGCCTGAGCAAGAGTGAGACCCCATCTCTACCAAAAATCGAAAAAAATAGCCAGGTGTGGTGGCACACGCCTATAGTCCCAGCTACTTGGAAGGCCGAGGCAGGAGGTTCCCTTGCACCCAGGAGTTCAAGGTTGTAGTGGCTATGTTTGCACCTGTGAATACCC